AAAAACCGCCACCTAAGTTCGCTGCAAAGCCAGACTCTGCCAAGGGTCATGCCAGCTGGGAGCACGCGTGAGAGCAGTATCCGAATAATGTAGTCTTCGGCTTTGGTGACCTTGATAGGAGCTATGGTAGGAGGCCTTGGACACCATATAGAAGAACAGAGCTCAAGACCTGTCTTTGCCACTAACTGCTCTGTGACCTTGGGACATGACCTAGCTTCTCAGCCCTCCCTTACCTCAGCAGTCAAAAGAGGTGATCTCAGAGCCGGGGTCACCACCCCTGAGCCCATGAGCAATATTCCTGTTATCTGCACAAACAAACAAACAAAAAACCAAAGAGAGGTCTAGGTGGTTTGGATCAACAACAGTGTGGGGTCACTCGGAGGCCAGAAACTGGCTTTTTACGAACTTGGGGACGGAGAATGTATTTCAATAACCAAGGACAGTTACACCGAAGCATTATAATGAGAAGTTTCCTTTCTTGTTTTTGTTTTGTTTTGTTTTGTGTGTTTTTGTGTTTTTGTGTGTGTTTGTTTTGTTTTGTTTTGTCTTGTCTTGTTTACTTCTCTTATTTCGTTATAGGAGATTCAGGTAACTTCTCTGCAGTGTTGCTGGACACATGACCCTGGAAAGAATGAGAAGAGTTGCGGGCTGGTGTGTGTGTGTGTATGTTTTGGTTGCGACTGTCACATCCTCCCTCCTCTCTCCATCCCATTTGCTGGCCGGCACACTTGTGTCCCATCCCTCTCATGCCTGTCTGTTCTGCCTCAGGTAAGGTTTGCATTATCGCTCCAGAGGGTCTCAGGAGGCCCCGCGGTGGCATTGCTGATGCACCTCAGCGCACACACCCTGAACTCACCTCCTGGTTCCTGAGAAGAGAGCTAAAGTACATGCTTTCAAAAAGCCATCCTTCTAATGAGCTCTTCAGCTGCTGGCAGCCGACTTCCCTTGACTAAAGCTGCAATAAGCTAAATATTAGCACAGAAATCGGGTTAGCCGACCCCCTCGAAGGCATGTGCGAGGAACCAAGAGCAAACAGACCCATTCCTTCCAGTTACCGCCCTTTGCCAGCAAGGACGATCTGAAATATCTCCCGAGCCTGACAGCAATGGCACCAGATCTGGGTTGGGAAGGAGAACTTGCCCGAAGAAGTCTTTTTCTTCTCGTTCCTTTCTTGCGTCTTCCACCGTCTCTCCTCCTCTTCTCTTCCTCTGTCTCCTGCCTCTTCTTCCCTTCCTGCAGCTCCTCTGCCCAAAACTACAAAACTCCACCTTCACTAGTGAATTTCAGGCATTTTTATATAAAGAGACATTCCTGACTTAGACGATGATCAGGACGTGACGAGTTGATTCTTCAGTATCCCTTCGAGTTAATGAGCCTGGGTGAACGTGACACCATAGCATTCCAAGGACAGGCACATTGACACAAAGAGCTGAAATGCCATTTAAGATGACTTCTGAAGTACTGTTTAGAAACCTCGGACTGTCCTTAAAAAAAAAAAAAAAAAAAAAAAAAAAAAATTAGAATTAGAAATTCTCCAGAAATGGGAACAGAAATCAAAGTAGCTGAGTGGTCGTGACCTTGAAGTTAGGTTGACACCCTGGAGCCAAGCAGCTACATTTACAGAGATGCTTTTGTACTTGTTTTTAAGTTGGATTCATTATGTCTATTCTCTCTTTGAATGAACCCGGTCCTTGGCATTGTGCGCAGTCTAAATGGCGTACCTTTGTGGTGTTAGCATTGGTGTAGCAAAGCCACGGTATCCCTTGTGGATTTTCATTCGGTTCTGAATCTGTTTAAATGAAAGTGTTCGGTGGAACAAACACTTCTTGTATTACAATGTATCTCCTGCCATCTTCCTTCACATCTCGTTCTTAAAGAAGTTGGTAACTACCTGCATGTTGGAAGAGGCAGAACAAAGCAAATAATCCATAGGGAAGCCACGGCAATCCTGTTTTGCAAACATGGGTTACATCGGGTGTATACTTACATAGGTAGCATTTTCTAACACATGTGGAGTAAACACTGCATCCAACAACCTCAAATTAGTCATATGCACAAACCCATAATTTGATATATTTTTAGTTGGTATCACTCTTTTCCCCCACCTCTTTTGTGGTAGGGTCATACTGTCTTTGTAGAGAACGTCTTATTAAGCTGCTTTTCAAGAGTTAAGCCCATCCAAGTCTATATCCAGCCAGTATTTTCCTGCCATGTAATCACCAGAGGGGTATTTAGAGTTCTGAAAAAATGAAACACACTGAGTTCAGATCAGGCTTGAGGGTATGTCCCGTCTGCCTACTCAGAGCTTTGAGGCAATCTCTACGTAATGATTCTGAAGTCCAGACCTATGTTATATGACAAAAATTCCAAGTGTTTATGAAGGGACATTAAAAAATGAAAACACGGTGCATTCCTTCATTTTTAAGTCTGATGGACACGAGAGACTCCATGCACAAACCCGTGGAGGTTTGACCAACAGCTGCCATGAGTGTCCAAGATAAGCTCTGAGGGAACACGGAGCTTAGAGAATGCCACACAGCTTTCAGATGTGGGTAAAATGTCCTGAGATGTCCCTATATTTTTCTTGACCTTGGAGTTCACACTTGCCTTTTATTTTCTCACACACGTGCGTATAGCACTCCCACCTCTGCTTCCTGTCCACGTCACCAGGAAGTAATTCTCAAGTTTTCTCAGAAGCGCGTATTGTCGTAAAACGCAAAGAGAGGTTGGCTTTCACCAGGCCTTTCTTGAATTTGTTCTTTTTTAAAAAGATGAGGCTCTGTATTCTGTGCTCAGTGACTCTAGGCCTGGCCAGAACTTTCCATGTGTCAATGCACTGTCTGTTGAATCTGGAGATCCCAGGGACACTACAGGCAAGTGAACCAGTCCACAAAATCAAAATAAAGGTGTTTTGCTTGTTAACCTACTAGTATCTGGTCACTGGAGTATGTGAGCCTGATTATATTGCAGTTCAGTGACTAGATTTTCCCTTTAAATTAACCAGAATCTCAGAAAAACAGCTAACAAGGATCAGGGAGAGCCTCTTAGCCGTTAAAGGACTGAAGCATTATATATTAGAAACCTGTAAGTCAAAACCCCCATCGTTTGCTAAGTTGAGTATTTATATACCCCATTCATGACTATGTACAACACATATAATCGTCCATAATCAATGGATATGCCATTTATGCAAATATATTTACAGTGTATATTTAAGGCTATATACAATATACATATATTATACTCTATGATAACCACTGAAAATAAGGTTATGTACTTACAGAAGTATAGTCTATATACTTAAAGACTTAAAGTCACTTAAAGATCTGTCACATTTACGCACACACGCTTGCCAAAGCTTCCAGATTTGCCCTTTAGGTTAAATATTATCTTGTTAAGAGCTTTCAGTTGGTCACAAATGTCTTTTTGTTTGTCCCCCAGGATACTATGGGGACGGCCTAAATGCAATCATTGTGTTTGCTGCCTGTTTTCTGCCAGACAGCAGTCGGGCGGATTACCACTATGTCATGGAAAATCTTTTCCTGTGAGTGATATTTATGGCAAAGTGCTTTGAGTGAATGTCTATGGCATGGCATGGCAGATAGTGCATCTTTAATGGGAGGAAATAGATGATGTAGAATATTCTAAGCCTTTGATGAAAAGTCAATGAAATCTCTGTCAAGGAATATTGCTCAAGAGGCGAAAGCCTTTAAAAGAACTTTTGTCAGTTGAGTGATTTGAAAACAAAACGAACACAGTCTTGCCTGCACTCTCAAATCCTGGAACATTTCCTTTGGATAAAGTGTTATTTTTATTCCCCCCGTAACATGGCTTCGTTTATATCATTCACTTGTGCCTTTGGTACATGATAACATTGTTGACATTTTTGAAATTCGGGTTCTAACCTACGTATTTTTCTAGCGTACGTGCATTAAAAAAAAAAAAAAAAAAAAAGATAAAAACAAGATAACCCTACAGATAAATGAGCAATACTCGCTCTCAGAGAAATAATCTTAGGAAACTGCACTCTTTTCAAGGTAAAGAGGTAATAGGCACAACCATTCTTAAACGTCATACGCTCTGTAATTTAAATGTCATATAATCATGTTGTAAATAAGATGAACTGTTTCATGTGGGAAATGAAAACCCTCCTCTTCCTTCCTGTGATCAGATATGTAATAAGCACTTTAGAGCTGATGGTAGCTGAAGACTATATGATTGTGTACTTGAATGGTGCAACCCCCAGACGCAAGATGCCAGGGTTGGGCTGGATGAAAAAATGCTACCAGATGATTGACAGACGGTACGTGGGCGTCATTATTTAACCTCCGTTTTGGCTTCCTCAATAACTCCCATTCCTAATTCCCTTTCATCTGCCGAAACACGTGATCACATTTTGGGAACATGGAATTATGCAGAGTTAAGAAAGGACAGAAATATTAAGAAAAGTTCGCTTGCTGCCCCAAATCTGAAATAAAGCAGAGCTCCCCTAGGTTTTGCTAGGTGTTGTCATCTCAAACCTGGCGACCAAGTCTGTTCTAAACTATGTGTATGCCGTTGCCGCGTGAAGGTGCGGTTTGTCCTGATAAACAGAGTATCCATGATTCTTTTTTTTTTAAGTTTATTTATTTATTTTGAGAGAGAGAGAGAGAGAGAGAGAGAGAGAGAGAGAGAGAGAGAATCCCAAGCAGGCTCTGCAGTGCGGAGCCCAACTCGGGGCTTAAACCCACAAACCATGAGATCATGACCTGAGCCAATCAAGAGTCAGATGCTTAACCAAGTGAGCCACACAGGCACCCGTGGAGTATCCATGATTCTTTACTGGTTTTACGTGACTGGTTTTACGTGTCTTTACTGGTTTTACGTGTCACTTACGTGACATAAGTGCTGCTTATGTGCACTAGGACTGTTGATCTGGGCGACTGTTGGGCTTATAGTCCATCATTCGCCGAGATAGTTCAAGTTAACCGCTAGCCCATTTGGTCCCGTGGTGCACTTTTTTCCCCAAGATACTTCACTTCCATCCATACTGGCTTGAATAGAACAAAACATGTTAGGGGCACCTGGGTGACTCAGTTGACTAAGTGTGGCATCCCCTTAGACGTGGCTTCGTGCATGACAACATGCGAGTGCCCTGTTATGTTATCTAAGATCCATTTGATGATCTAAACATTCATAAAGTAGCATTGCTAATGCTTCAAAACATGCCTGAATATCAAGAATGCTAAAATGGTAATCTGAAAGTCAAACAACCACATGATCTACTGTTACTTGTTTCATAATACAGAAGAAGAAACCAAGGCTTAGTAGATCAAAGAAATTGGCTAAGTTGCTAGTAAGAATGTGTTCTTTTCAAAACAGTAAAGATAATGCTGGCAAAAATGAAAAGAATTGTTAAGCAAAAATGCACCCTGATAGTCATAGATTTATGCAGTCCAGAAATACACCCATCCTACTTTACATTTATTCCTCTGGGAAAATGAGGTTGGACTCATACAAGTTACAAATTATATCTCAAAAAAATTGGGGGGAGGGGGGCACCTGGGTGGCTCAGTCAGTTAAGCGTCTGACTTCAGCTCAGGTCATGATCTCATGGTTTGTGAGTTCAAGCCCCGCATTGGGCTCCGTGCTGACAGCTCAGAGCCTGGAGCCTGCTTCGGATTCTGTATCTCCCTCTCTCTCTGTTCCTCCCCCACTCACACTGTCTCTCAAAAATAAATAAACATTAAAAAGTTTTTAATAAAATAATTTTTTTACTAATCATGGTCATTCAGTTCCTTCCCATCAGATAATAGGAACTTACCTAGAACTCTCTAATATTATAATATGCTTATTTGGGGATATACTTTCCATTTTAACTCCTACTGAAAATGGGTTAGGAGTGATTTTTTTTTCTTTTCTTTTCTTTTCTTTCTTTTTTTTTTGTTAAATAGGTTGCGAAAGAATTTGAAATCATTCATCATTGTTCATCCATCTTGGTTCATCAGAACAATCCTTGCAGTGACACGACCTTTTATAAGGTATGGTTGTTATTATACTAAAAGTACTGCTAGTCGTTTTTCAAAATATGTGTTCATCGTCCTGTAAATAAGAATTCACGAACACAGACAGTATTTAGGAAGACATATTTTGCCCCTGCCTTTCCTGGAATGCTATTTTGGACTGTGTAGCAAGGAACCCTGATTAAGGGTGAGCATTATTTTGTAATGACTATTTTTCCCCACTATTACGAAACATGACCTCTCTATTGCTTGCTGTAACACAGAGGTTGAAGTGGAAGGGTTTCCATGCCATAATACAAAAGGGAGTAGGTAATACTTTTAAAGTGACTTGGTAATTTGTAGAGCATAGAAAAGGCATCATAACGCAACAGTGGAAAAATAAAGACAAACCAAGGACAGAAACAGGAGTGGTGTGCCTTGTCTTAATTGTTCTGTTTCTTCTGAACACATATCATGTAGGTCACGAAACTTAGGGAAAGAGTCTGGGCAGCCATTTTGAGAGCTTTTTTTTCATTGCCCATGAGGATTCTGGGTTTCGATTCAGTTCAATTCTGTGAATATTTATCCACCATTTATGTTGTGTTAGATACTGTATAACCTTACATTTTGGGGACACAAAGAAAAAGAAAACATGCCTCATAATATAGTGAGACTTGAAACAGTTAAATGAAAGGGACAGGATGTATTGCCTAGAGAGCTTTAAAATAAAATACAGCCTTACCTAACATTGGGATGCAGAGGAGATGAACTGAAAGTTTTCTGTCTCAAAGTTATTGATGAATTTCTAAGAAACATTCTGATCACTTGTGGAGGAAAAAAAAATGCTAAAGGTTAAAAACCTTTATTTATTTATTTTTTACATGGACATTTACTGTGCCTTCCCAATTCTACCTTTTTTGTTCAGTGTTCACTTACATGTATGTAGCATGTCCACTTCCAACCATTGAGTGGCATCTTTCAACCTAGTTTTCCTCTGGCAAAGTTTAGTTCTTTACCATACCGTGTGAAATTGCTTTAAAAAAATAATATGAGAGGGGCGCCTGGGTGGCTCAGTTGGTTCAGTATCCGACTTCAGCTCGGGTCATGATCTCACGGTTTGTGAGTTCGAGCCAAGCCCCACGTCAGGCTCTGTGCTGACAGCTCGGAGCCTGGAGCCTGCTTCCGATTCTCTGTCTCCTTCTCTCTCTGCCCCTCCCCCACTTGTGTTCTGTCTCTGTCTATCAAAAATAAATAAATGTAAAAAAAAAATTAAAAAAAATAATATGAAATATTTAAGGTATACAAAAGCCACTTACTTTAATGATAGAAAATGCTTTGGGATGCCGGGGTGGTTCAGGTTAAACGTCTAACTTTGGCTCAGGTCATGATCTCACAGTTCATGAGTTCGAGCCCAGTGCCGGGCTCTCTGCATTCAGCGCAAAGCCCAGAGCGTGCTTCGAATCCTCTCTCCCTCTCTCTCTGCCCCTCCCGCCCCCACACTTTCTCTCTCTCTCGCTCTCTCAAAAATAAAAATAAACATTAAAAAAAAGAAAATGTTTTGATAAGGGAATAGGAATCAATGTACACTGAAGAGCTTATAAAAAATTTAATGGTGGGGTGTCTGGCTGGTTCAGTAGGTGGAGTATGTGGCTCTTGGTCTCAGGGTTATAAGTTCAAGCCCCACACTGGATACAAAGATTACTTCAAAATAGAATCTTTTAAAAGTTTTTCTTTTCAAATTTAATAGCTAAGAAAAGTAAATGTTAGTTATCGTATTCACTCACTGATATTTGTTTGATCATTTGGGTGTTATAAAACAAATAAGTTTCTTGGTAAATAACAAAACTTTGTTACTGTAAGAATACTGAGAAGTAATTACAATTCAACATCATTTGTCGAAGGGAGTTTCAAGATGGTAAGTACAACAACAGTAATAAAATAATAGCAAAGAGTATTGTGGTAAATTATAGAAACTCATGGCTTACATTTACTGAGTATGTACAGGCAGTATTTCATTTCATTGTAATGTGAGTCCTCTGAAGGAGGTACTGTTTACTGTTTCCCTCATGCAGGAAACATCCCTGAGGTTCAGTGAAGTCAATTAAGTTGTCTAATGCAAAAACCAGCAAACCCCTTTCTGTAAAAGATCAGTCAGTAAATATTTTAGGTTATGTGGACCATCCGGTCTCAGTCACATCTGCTCAATTCTGCCATTATAGGTCCTAAACAGTCAATAGACACTATGTAGATAAGTAAGTGTGGCTGTCTTCGAATCAAACTTGATATGTGAACACTGAAATTGAACTTCTTAAAAATGTTTTCATATCACAAAATATTCTTGGTGTCAGATTTCTTTTCAAATATTAAAAAAAATATATAAAAACAATCCTTAGCTGGAGGACTGTAAAACAAAAACAAAAACAAAAACAAAAAAAACCAAAACAGCTAACAAGCTGGCTTTGGTGCATAGGCTATAGTTTGCCAACCCCAGGTCTAATGTAAAATAGCCAGTAAGTGATAGACTCAGACTTTGAACCCAGCGGTCTGCCTAATCGTAAAGAAAACACATTTCAAGTACTTAAATGTTATAGCCTACAGTCTCATCATGTGAGACCTTCCGTCTTTAAAGATCCCCCTCTGAATCAGTCTGTATCAGTGTAACCAATTTTTAGACCTGAAAAAAGAGGTCACTAAAATGTGTTATAGGTCCTTTTGCTGCTGAAGGAGAACACCTATGATAGAGGTAGATGGGAAATTCATTTATTTTTTTTAATGAATTGTCTGTGGCAAGTACTGGGTTAGGTGGAGATTGAGAGGCACGGCAGCTGACATAGACAAGTCAGCAATTGAAACAGAGGGTATAGCTGAAGCAAAATGGGGGTGATAACACGGTGAGGGTGAATTTGGGGCGACAGGTAGAGAGTAAAGGCTGAGAGCCTGCGTCAAGAGAGGTGTTCCAGAAGAACGAGCCTTCAAGGTGAGTTTTGAAGAACCGATAGGATGGACTAGCTGAAACCAGGTGGCAACAGCGGGTCCAAACACACCAAGAAAGGGACAACATGACATGTTCAGAGAACTGTACGTTCTAGTGAACGTAACCCTGGAGCTGGATGGAGGGTTCCCCTTCCACCCACTCTATCTTTTATCAAAACCTGAATTTAGCTCAGGAAGTCCAGGGGAAGGAAGAGGTAGTGTGTGTCCATCCAAGACTTCTCAGGACGACCAGAAGTGACTCTATGGAGACACAAGTCATTCACCGCCAGTGGCCCAGGGTCAGATTGCAAGTAAAATGTGAAAGATAACCGTACAGAGAGATGACCCCGCAAAGCCTTCCTTCTAGAATGCACAGCAGTTGAACAGAAGGCAGTACAATTGGCAGACGGCTCAGCATGATCTCTAGCCTGGAGAGGTCTTTTTCTCGGAAACCATTCCAGAAAGTTCGACGCTTGATCAAGTTCCCTTTCAAGTGGAATGATACATTTTAAAAAGCAGTTTGCAATTACACCAGTAATACACAAATGCTTTCTCCTTATGAAACATCCAACCATTACCGATAAGACTAAGTTCTTCCTTCAACAGCTGCCAGTTTCTGTTCGGAACTCGTTTCCCCAGAGGCACATTCCTTGATCAGTTGCAATAGTATCTTTTCATGTTGTCTTATATCCATCTACACACATCTAACATGATAACGTGTAGATGAAAGCTGTTTGTAATTCAGATCCAGTTACTGGAATATGGTTTTGGTCCGTCTGGACTGAACGTGCTAGCTAAAACTTAAAAAAAGAAAAAAACTAAAAAAAAAAAAACCAACAATTAAGCTAAAATATTAAGAGGAAAATGAGTTTATACATACTTTAAGAAGCTAATGTTTTATTTTTGAGACAGCACAAGCAGGGGAGGGGCAGAGAGAAGGGAACAGAGGATCTGAAGTGGGCTGTGTGCTGACAACAGTGAGCCCAGCGTGGGGCTTGAACTCATGAATCTCAAGATCATGACCTGAGCCCAAACCGGACACCCAACCAGCTGAGCCACCCAGGTGTCCCATGTATACTTGCAAAATTGATCAACCTCGGGGTGCCTGGATGGCTCAGTCATTTAAGCATCTGACCCTTGGTTTGGGCTCAGGTCATGATCTCCGTTTATGAGTTACAGCCCCATGTTGGACTGTGTGCTGATATCACTGAGCCTGCTTGGGATTCTCTCTCTCCCTCTCTCTCTGCCCCTCCCCTGTCTGCCTTCTCTCTCTCTCTCCCTCTGTCTCTCTCTCTCTCTCTCTCTCTCTCTCTCTCACACACACACACACACACACACACATGAAATAAACAAACGTGCAAAAACATGAAATAGATCAACCTTGGAAGAGTCTGAAAGAATTAATGACAAGATTTTTATTTAAGAACAAAGAAACAAGCAAACAAAGCCAAGTGAACCATAAACCAATGAATGTGGAGAGTGGCAGAAACCTCTGAGAGGCCGTGTGATGTGCAGTTAAGAGTGTAGACCCGAGGGGGGTGGGAGAATAGGTGATGGGGATTAAGGAGGGCACGTGATGAGCACTAGGGGATGCATGGAAGTGTTGAAGCCCTATATTGGACACCTGAAACGAATATAACACTGTTAACTAACTGGAATTAAAAGAAAAAAACTTACAAAAAATAAGAGTACAGACTGGTCAGACTGCTCTGGTTGGAATCCAGGCTCTACCATATACCTGAGGTGAAACCTTAGGCAAATACGTAACTCTCTGTGTGTCGAGTTTCCTTATCTTTTAAAAAAAAAAAAAAAAAAAAAAAAAAGAAATTAGAGGTATCTGGGTGGCTCAGTCAGTTAAGCGTCTGACTCTTGACCTCGGCTAAGGTCAGGATCTCGCAGTTCGTGAGCTTGAGCCCCAGGTGGGGCTGTGCACTGACAGAGTGAAGCCTGCTTGGGATTTTTTCCTCTCTCCTCCTCTCAGCCCCTCCCCAAGTTTTAAAGGAGCACTCGGAACATCTTTTAAAACAAAAAGAGAATAATAATAACAAGCCTACCTCACTAGGCTTAAGAAGAAATAAGGGAGTCGATACATATAAACCTCTTAAAACAGTATCTGGCATGTTGCAACTACTCGGATGTGTAGCCTTTCTTCTTAGTAAGTGCGGGGCCAACGTGTTAACTTTTTCAGGATTTTCAAGAAGAGGCAACACACTTAGAAGGGATGAAGTGGACACTAATGATATCTTTTCTCTCTCTTTTCTTTTAGCTCAAAATTCAGCAGTAAAATTAAGTATGTCAATAGTTTATCAGAACTCAGTGGGCTGATCCCAATGGACTGCATCCATATTCCAGAAAGCATCATCAAGTAAGTCGTGATGGTTTCCAAGATTTGGTAAGAAACTCTGCATGTTTGGAGGGGATTGGAAAACAACTCACTTCTGGAATACTGGGGAAATGTCGTGAATTCTATTTAAAATAAATACTGAGTGTTTTCCAATCAATAGATTTTTTTTTCCGAATACCCCTAGAGACCTGTTCTTTCAGATTCTCTTTCACATAATCTTCTCTTGGGGTTATCGATCATTGCTCATTTCACCTTAAATTTTGCTCCCATTTTGCAAAGCATAGATTTAATATGAATCAGTGCACCTGCTGCCTGTGTCTCCCTCTCTCGCAGACACAACAGGGTCTGAGCACAGCTTTGCCTTCTTTATTGCCTTACGGAAAGTAATTTACCTGCCTGGCCCTAGGAAAAGGGGGAAAAATAAACTATCTTTTCTCTGTTTTCTTCTAAATCCCTTTTCTTCACGGGTCCCTTCAGGTGAAAGGTAAGGCAGAGTGGTAGGTGGCGTGGGTAGGGATGATCCCCTTCCTCAGGGTAATGCAATTAGCAGCCCGTGAGGAAACAGCATGGAGACTGAAGGGCGCTGGATCGTGCTGTGAAAATAATGAGAATAACAGTTAACACCGGCTGCTTGGAGCTGAGACTTAAAAGTACGGATGCCGAGGAGGGAACTCTCCTGTTTGGTTCACTGTTGCAAAGAACCGTTGTTCTCTGTGGGTTGTGCTTTTCTTCCTCTGTGTCTGATTCACTCATTTTTTTTTTTATTTGATTGAAAATGGGAGGCCTTTAAGCTTTAGCTCGAAGAAAACAGACAAGACAGACAAGGATAGCCTATCTTCCTCCATAAGATGGATAGCAAAGTAGACTTCCCAATCTGCACTTCCAAAAAAGAGTCTTTTTACTAAAAAGAAAAAAAAAAAAGGCAGGGGGAGGGGTGGGCAAAGAAGCTGGAAAGAAAAGACTTGCATTTATTTCGGGGCAATACCGTATCAGGCATTAGAAGTGCTCTATGTATGTAGTGTTTAATCCCCACAGTAAACCCCCAAGTACAGGGAAGGGAAGCCAACAACGAAGAAAAGCTACTTATGTCAAGTATAAGTAGGAGCAAGGAAGAGATGGAACTAGAATTCAGACCCAGGTCAGCCTGGCAGCAGAATTCTCACACCCTTTTCTAGCAGTTTCCTTCACCCCCCTTAAAGTATTGGAAGTCCTAGCTCAGGAGTAGATGCGTTTGGTTTTCCTTCTCTTGATATGAGGTGAACACGGGATAATGATTTGGCTTAGAACTACCCGTTGGCTTAGCCGAATCAAGCAGTGTTCGTGTGATCCTAACAGCGGCTCTGACCCTCCTTAGCTTATAGGACTCCCACCCCCTGCTTACCTCACAGCTCAATCCTGCTACCTCAAAAAGGAGCATCCCCACCTCTAAGCTCCACTCCTATGGTCGGTAAAGTCACTGGAGTACCCACCTCCTGTAGGGCTGCCTCCCTTTGCAAAAGATGACAAGGACATTATCTCTTCAAGTGGAAATGAGCACTGGCCACTTTCTAGCTAAATAGGGCAATGCCTCCATGGTGTGGCAGTTGGAGATAGAGAAGAGAATGGGTTTTGGAGGCTTAATAATAGATTTGAACCTTCCTGCCAGCCCCTGATATCGAGCTGGGGCGCGTGGGTGGCTCAGTCAGTTAAGCATCTGCCTTGGGCTCAGGTCAGGATCTCGTTGTTGGTGGGTTCCAGCCCCACATCAAGCCGTCTGCTGTCAGTGCATAGCCCACTTCGGGTCCTCTGTCTCTCTGTCTCTCTCAGAAATAAGTAAACATTAAAAAAACCTCCCCGTGCCTCAGTGCAGCATCCAGAAAATGGGGAAGTAAGGGGCAATTCATAGAAAGGCCCCAAGGATTGGGTGAAAATGTGCATAATGCATCCAAGAGCCTTCCCAGCAAGAGTTGGCAATCCAGAATGTTATTTATTATAATCAGGTTGCTTTTAGAGACTCATTATCTGATAGGAAAGTTTAAATGAGAAGTTAAACATGCCCAAGGCACTTTTCATTCATTGACACCCATCAGTTTTCAATGACTCCATCTGGGAGAAGTTTCTTAAGGAGAAAGGGGCTCCATTTGGGAAGATTTTCTTCTGGAGGGAGAAATTTACAACCATCCCTGTCCTCCCCGTGTGTCCATGTTTTTCTTCCACCGTCCATCTTCTCTGGATGTCCTTTTTGCCACTTCTGTTCCTGGCCCGCATTGTCTCATTTTCATGTTATGCCATTTTCAAAATGAGAGAAGCCATAAGCCTATTACTGAATACCATTCGGAGAATCTAATCTCGGCCAGTCCCAAGACCAGTAGTCAGCTATGCTGGAGCCTGTCATCAAAGGACTTAAATGAAAGAAAAAGTTGCCCAATCTGAAATTAGATTGATAATTGTTGATGACAGTATATTCTTGTTATTTGTGGCAATCATGTTCTAGAACCCTAAATAGCGAACCGTTGTTCCTAGGAGGAATACAGGGCTAAGTTCCTGCAAACACCTGGTTAATTTCCATTAACCAATTAACATAGAACCTTGTTGTGTGTTTCTGTGTAAAAATGGCTGATTTGATATATATTGTTGACTCACACTGAATTCACGGCCAGCAGCACCATAGCCCCTGCCCAAACAAAGCTTCTCTAATGCACAGATCCTCTCCAGAAGGCACATCACAGCCTTCTTGTGCTTAGGAATGCCAGACAGCGCCTGAACACTCTGCTTGGGGGCATTTTAAATGGCGAAATTACCAATTAAAAGCACAAGAACAGGGAAAACGTGGCACTAAATAGACAGCACCTGTTGGCAGCCTGAGCCTGCGCTAAAACGAGAAGGCAGAGCCTTGTTTTGTTGGGCCTCGACTGGGAATGTGCACATCAGGTGGCTCAAATTTTTTGCCACTAATAAAAGTAGTGAGTCGCCATAAAGGCGCCACAGGTATTGACGTGGGGGGGGTCAGAAACAAAATGCAAGCAGGAGGCAAATTTGCAAACAATGCAAAGAACCTGCAAATAAGGAGGACTGGCTGAAGCTAATCATGAATTCTAACTCCTCGATTATATCCCATGAAAATACGTTTTTCTCCAAAAAGGCAATTTGATTCTTTCAGGGGGGTAGGCTTTTTCTCTCACGTTCTGTCCGTTCTTTAAAACATGTACCTGTCATTTTCTCCGTCTGTTGGCTCATCTTGCTCATTGCATTCATTTTTATCCCGTAAGGTACGATGAAGAGAGATCTTATAAGAGAAGTGTGAGGTAAAATCTCCTGATCTACGATTCACGCTGGACCCGCTGTGTGTGTGCACCTGTGTCTTAGACTCGTGGGTGACCTCAACATGCTACCAGAGCAAGAGGTCATTCTATCGGTCCCTTGTTGCATACCATTCCTGGTCTTTGTCTTGTGTGTAAAGCTGTTGAGGTCAGCCTGATTTGCAACTGAAACCCACTAGGCCAGATTCACCCTTGAGCTGGCCCAGGCTGCAAGCTGTCTCTAACTATACGCAACAGACCGGTGTGGACGTTTTCAGCTTTACTCCGCCAGCATGTTTCTGTTCTCCTTGCAACTTGTGTTATCTACCTACCTTTATGAAGGAATTTGCAAAGCAAACATGCAGAAACACCGAATGGGAGGAAATGGCACCATATCTAATCGAAGGAGCGTGTCTCAGTGCTCCAAAGGATGGTTTTTAAAGGCACATGTGCTCCACTTATGTTTGGCTCTGCTTTGCTGAGTGACTCTCTCACGCTGTGCTTGCTTCTTTTCTGTTTCTTTTCCACACCGATAATTTTTGCTCATGCAGACTGGATGAAGAACTGAGGGAAGCATCAGAAGCAGCTAAGTAAGACTTGGTTTTCGTTCAGCAGCTGGCGTGATGTTGGCTTGCGTTTCAGGAATGAATCGGGAGAAGCCGCATGCCTGGCGTTTTATTTTTGCATCCTGATGATAATGCTGCACTTTAAAGGGTCCCCTTTGTCCCACATTAGATGCAATGTCTGGTAGTTGTACTACAATCTGTTTTCCCCTGTGATCTTGGTTACCTTAAGGAACGCATTTGTTACTGTTGTTTTTTTTTTTTTTTTTTTTTTTTTTTTGGTGGTGGTGGTGGGGTTTTTTTGTTTGTTTTTTTTAATGTACATGTAATTTTAGGCACCACAGCAAAGGAACACCTCACAGGCACCATCACATATAACATCCAGATCGTTGTTAGATAGTTTGAGGCCACAAAAGCTCATTAATTCATCCTAATAAGAGAGAAACGATGACAAGTCGAAATTTGGACTATGGAACCAATTTCGTGACTTTCCAAGTTTTTTTAAGCCCCTTATTTAGTGACTTGGAAATATGCTCAACTAAATAGCTTCAGAGTTATTTGGATGAATAGAAAAAGGATCATTACTCACTATTGTTAAAGTATACCTTTCGAAAAGGCAAAATCTTAACTTTAATACAACTATGAAATGATACCTGCCAATGATTTTACTCAACTAATTATTTAATGACAGACCCAGTAAAGTGTAAAAACCAGTTCAAAGGACGCTTGCAACGCTAGATTTCTGTAGGTGATTTATAAAGGAATGTTAGGATAAGATTATTGGTTTAGATGCAAAATGGATCAACATCCAACAGGGCAATAAACTGTAAATTAGGATTATCTTTTCCACTGGATTGAAATTATTAGCATCTCTGTCCCCCAAAGAGTTTTAAAATAGCTCATCAACAGAAAGTCAACTCAGCATTCCTTTCAAAGAACATCCCAGTAATTTCCTTTTATTTCCAAGTTCAAAAATTTTTTTCTGACACTTTATGTCAAATGCAGACAAGTACTATTTAGAATGTCTACTATATTAAAGCTTTTCCATTTCAAATATTGCCTACACCATTAATATTTATAACTAGTTCTCATTTTAACAGATAGTGCAAAAGCAGAAACCTGGGCAATGTCTAAACAGCTACAAATTCTGAATAAATACGTTTTGGTTTTTTTTTTTTTC